ATTCTGTCCCCCCAAGTGAGAACCACAACACCCCTACCCCAGTTATCTCAGCCCAGTAACTATCTTCTTTGGTAGGGTTTAAGCAAAGAGGCTGAGGAGGGCTGTCGTCAGCATGTTGTCTTCCCTTGAATTAATTAGCTATCAGCAACAAGGGCAGAGATGCTGTGTGTCTTTGACTCCCCAACTTTTGCAGAATGCCCTTTAGGCTGAGCTCAGCAGAAGCCATGGCAATTGTCACTGTGCTTCAGTGGGAGCATCACATTCCAGTGTAGATCCCACGTCGGTGGACTTGGAAACTGGTTAATAAGCACCTTCATATCCCTAGCAATTCGGAAGGAAGACCACACTGGTTGATCACTCCTTCAGCCAGAGAGGCTCCTGCGTCACTTGTCTCCAAGAATTGTTTAGGTTTCTGATAAAAGAACTTAGAAATATGTTGATATACACCCACCAGACCCAAGGTCCTCTAAAACACAGACGGAGAAAGATGTTCAGGTTTTAGACCATCCCTGTCCCCAGTGGGTAGGCTCTGAGTGCACCAGGTCAGGTGACGTAGGAGGCAAATCCATTCTGGCCCCTTCCACCCCTCTGTGTAGCTTTGTGGGCTTCAGGGCATTTCCCAGGCCTGTGTCCTGTTGTGTTGGGTGGGGGACAAGAAGATATCCTGGTGATGGTACCAGGCAAGAGATTGCTTTCTCCTAGTATATTCAATAGGGAGGTAACTGCAGCCCAGCCTGTAGAAATCCAGGAAACAGTGCGTGGGTGAGAGGGAGAGGGAGGGGGGAGAGAGAGAGGGAGGGAAAGAGAGAGGGAGAGGGAGGGAGAGAGAGAGAGAGGCTAGGATTACTGTGTGGGTGGCTGTGAAAGAGAAAGAGATGCGAAAGTGTCTCCATCTGCCTGTGGGTGTGTGACAGTGGATATGCAGGAGTGGCTGTGCCTGGAGGACAGGCCATGAGTGGTGAGCAAAGGCAAGAGAGAAAAGAACATGGTTTAACTCTAGTCTCCAGGAAACTGTACTTGTGTGAGAACACTTACATGTGTCTGCATGAGCTGAAGTGGGATAGAAGCTATACAAACGAACCTGAGACACTTGTCCACATGTGCTATGATAAGATGGATGATGGGTTGCTTGGGGGTATATGTGCCAGTGTTTGCCCAGTGCACATATATGTGCCAGGGTTTGATGGCATTCACACATGTATAAAGTTAAAAGGTTAGCCCGGAGTTGGTGGCACCCGCCTTTAATCCCAGCACTCAGGAGGCAGGTGGATCTCTGGGAGTTCAAGGCCAGCCTGATATACAGAGTTCCAGGACAGGCTCCAAAGAAATACAGAGAAACCCTGTCTCAAAAAAAAAAAAAAAAAAAAAAAAAAAAAAGTAAACTTAAAAGGTCATATATAGAAGAATGTTTGTCCGAGAATGTGGCATGTCTAAATCATGGTGTACACATGTGTTTATGGACGTATGTGGTATGTATGTCTGATCAAACAGCACAGGAAGGTATATATGAACCTGTGAGCAGTGCTCTTCACTGTCACCTTCCCGTTGAAGTCACCAGGATGTGAAGTTCCCTGCCCAGCCTCCTGTGCCATCTATTCTTTCCCAGAAGCCTAAGGGGCAGGGGCCTTGACCTTGACCAGACTCTCTGTCTAATCAAATAGATGTAGTTCATTTTCCTCTGCTTCATCAAGATGGATGTGGCCAGGGCAGACTTACTATGTGTACAGTCTTTACCCATACCCCTATCCTCCTACTCTTCTGAGGCTCACGGCAGTGTCTAACACCGCAAAGGCCCCAGAATCCTCTAGACAACCCTCACCATCAAATGGCCACTGGCAAAGGAAAGTTGGGTCAGCAGTGGCTTACAGGTCTCCCTGTTACAGCTGAAGAAGAGGGGTGTGGCTTGGCTGGGTCTCCCACCCACTCTCAGAGCCTGAACAACCATTTTCCAGCCCTAGGTGGGTGGAAGAACACAGCCTGCTTCCTTGTCTCCATGGAAACAAGGCAGCAGAAAGAGTATTTAGAAGCATGGGCCCAAGACCTCTCAGGGTTCAAATCTCAACTCCTCCACCTACAGGCCATTGGATTGCAATTTTAACACAGCTCTTAAAATTCTGTGTGTGCCTAGTTTCCTCATCTGTAAGGTAGAGACAAGAAAAGGACAAACTGGGTATGGAAGGCACACCTGGAATCCCAGCAGTGGCGAGATGGCAGCTCAAGGTCTGCACAAGGTTCCTTAGCAAATTTCAGGCCAGCAAGGCAACATAGTAAGTCTGTCTAAAAATAAAAAGAAAAGAAGATGGAGAGGAGGAGGAGGCGGCGGCGGCAGTGGCAAGACTGAACTCCCTAAGGCTATTCAGAGGATGCAATGAACTCGTCTGTATAAAACATTCAACACGGAGCCTAGCATCTGAAAACAGAAGCAGTCTGGGTTTCAGCCTTTGATTTTGCTACCAATCTACTGGGTGACTTTGCACACTTGTCGTTTTCTGCGTCTGTCCTTCTGTCTCTATCGGCATAGCAGACTCCACCCTCTCTGCCAGGTCCAGTCAGCTGACTGAGAAGAGGACTGTGGAGAAGATGGCTACAGAGCAGAGCTCTTTCTTGGTGAACTGTGAACCACCTAGTGCTTGGCAGAGGCCTGATCATATTCCTATATCAGACTTCTCTCAGCCACTGCTGACACGGACCTTGAACTTGAGGCTGCAGTCCCTTCTTGCCTGCCAAAGGTCCCGTTCTGCCCAGCTCGGCTGGTACCAGCATCCACTGATTCCCCAAATCAAGGTCTGTAAGGTGCCCCAGGCAGAAGATGAATGACTTGGACCTCAGGCTGCCAGGCAGCACTCCAGAAAGTCAGGTTTAATAGCGGAAGGATGGGTGTGATTGTCTGAAGATGCTTATGATCCTCTCTGTAATGAGAGGAAGCTTGGAGAGGAAGCCCTAAGCTGCTAATAACCTGGCAGCTCCCCAGACTTCTTCCCTCTGGCTCTCCAGGCAGAGGGAAGAGACCTGTCACTCCCCATCCCAGGGAGAAGAAAAGCCATTGAGACTTAGATCTAAGACCACCCAGATTTCCACTCCTCAGCAAGACCCAGCTTCCTCTGAGAAGTCTTACTGCTCCCTTCTCTCCTCCTGGGGCCGCTTCTGCCCCTCTGTCCCTAGAATTCTCAACCAACTGGGTGGACAGGAAAGAGACAAATGAATTGGGCTGTTCAAGAAAAGGACCCAGAGAGTCTCAGGGCTGACAGTGACTGTGTACTTTGGACAGGTGACTTGATCTCTGAGTCTCCATTGTCTCACCCGCCCTTCTTTGGAAAGCTACAGTAAGACAGAGAGTCAAAAGACCCACAGGCTGTAAGATGCCGCCAAGGTAATTAAAGGTGATCTTTTCTCCTCTCTAGCCCACCTATAGTTGCTACCCTTCCAGGGTATCTGCAAAAAGTACAATTTCAGAATATGATCCTAGCTAATAATACAAGGCCCATAGTCAAACAACCATGGCTGAACATGCTAGTCACCTCCTGGACAAGTCACTTATATTCCTGAGCCTCTATCTTTCATCTGTGTAATGGGCTCTGCTGTGAGATTGCAGGAAGCCATACACAGACCCTGTTCCCACAGCTCAACCACCAGCAGCTAGGCCGTCCAGCCAGCAAGGATCATTTCCGTTTCACTTTACACAGCTACCTAGAGCATTGTAAATTTTCGAAAACAGCCACAGCTAAGACCATGGCGCCCTTTCAATGGCTCCCACTTTTATTCTATTTTCACAGATGAAAAGAAAAAACAAAAAAAAAAAATGAGCTCACCAAAGGGACTTGCTAGGACTTGACTACTGAGCACTGGCCTGATAACCCATCATCCTGCCTCCTGACCCAGCTGTGGCCCTGGGGAAAGGGAGCGAGCAAGTCACAATGCTCCTCAGGTACCTGAGGACCCATATTCAGGCTGACTCTGGGATGCTCTTCCCCGTTTAGAGGTGCTGAAGGCCCTCACTGCTCCTGCCCAGCTCTCTGCATATCTCATGCCTCAGCAGGGCCTGTGACCAAGGATGATCAGAGCCTGGAGAGAATTATTGCAGAGAGCAGAGTGGGTGAGAAGGCTGGTGAAGTGCCAGCTCTGGCATCAGCAACGCCTGCAGAGAAATGAAGTGTTCCTTCACTCTCTTGACGCACAAGCCCTCCCAGGACTGTCCCACACACACTCTGCACCCTGGGGACTTGCTGGCAGCAGCTCTCCTGCCTGGGCAGATGGTGGCTCAGCTCAGGGCCAGCCCCACCCCCAGTGTGAACCACTGTAGCATTGCCATTGCAGCTGGGGTGACTCAGAGTAATCTACTGTGCCTCAGCAGACCCCAGCTCTCACTGTCTGGCCCCAGGAGAAACCAATCTTCCTCCCTCCACTAGCTGTCATTGGATCTTGCTGCAATCCAGGTGACAAGGCTTCTGCCTTTGCCATTCATCTCTGACAGATGGAGAACCAAGGCCTGAGTGAGGACTCTTTGCCTAGCTCAGTCATCAATATGCTGAGGGACCCAGGCCAGGCCAGCACTCTCCCACTTTTGAGTCTCAGTTTCCCCATAGAGGTCGGCTTACATGAAAGGCTTCTGCGAGGCAATGACCACTCTCTGTCTGAGTGTCTGTTTGTCTAGAGCTGCCACTGAGCTCTGTAGGTTTAATGAGGGGGCTCTGCCCAGTTCAGGTGCTAGGGACTTCCAAGTCACTCACTACCAATAATGGTTAAAGGGCAAGTGGGAGGGGGAGTGGTTTTTTTTTTTTTTTTTTTTTTTCAACCAAGTGAGATAAGGGCTTTCTACTTGACAAACAGCTGGAACTGCACACACTACCTAGGTGCCCACCTCCCACAGCTGCAGATCTGGACATGCTGGAAGACTTGTAGTCATTGTTAAATAAACATCCTAGGAAAACATGCTTTAAAAGTCCCTGGTTGAGACCTTGTGGAATTTTCTATGACCCTAGGGAGAAGGAATACAAACTTACCTGGTTTTTGGGTCACTCTGGGCCCAGGGCTGGGGCTGCCACCTGCTGTCATCACTTTCCGGGCCTGTACCACATCCCAGTCATGGCTGGCTCTGTCGTTGTGCTGGAACCCACCTCGAGCCTCCCTGGAACAGCTGGATGGCTGGATTATGCCTGAGGCTCTGGATAGCTGTGGTGTCCCATGGTTGGCTCTGCTTCTGCTGGCCACCTCTTCTTCCAGGTCCCCAAGCCTCGCCTCTCCCAGCAGCCCATCTTCACTGCTGCTCTCTTCAGCTTCCAGAGCCAGGCACCTGTAGCTCCCATCCGGAATCTCAAAGGTGCAAGGGGCAGGCCTCCCCTCACCGGGTCCAAGGGGTGGGGGTGGGAAGTGAGGGCCCAGCATTATGGTCCTCTCCTCACTAGTGCAAAGCAGTAGCCTGCTGGCACAGGGTATTGTGACTCCTTAGGTGCTCAGCAGATTCACCTTCTTCTGCAGCTGCACAGGGCTGCAGTGAGGTCTGGAGGAGCGATGAGACAAGACCTTTCCTGGCAGGGTGAAGATGTGGTCCTCCAACACTTCTCCTCACCTCCTGAGCTCCGCTCCGTAGGGCCTTTTAGAGCGATCTATCGGTACAGGAAGAAAAGGTACCACATGTCAGAGAGCTCACTGTGTGTTCTGAATGGAATCACTGAGACCTGTCCACCCCTGGGTAGCCTCAAGAGCTGCTGGGATCTGGGGTACGGTTCTCACTCCTCAACAGGGAAGTGTTCCCAGAGGTCCAGTCTTGCAGCATGCTATTCATGCCCTATCCTTAGGCTACCTGATGCTTAGTGTTTCCCTTCAATCCACTTTAAGTCACATAACTTCTATTACTTTAGACTTATCTTGAGCAATAATTGCAGGAAAACCACAAGCACGTTGTGCCAAGTCATCCCCTTCCCCGTGCAAGTTAAATAAATATCTAGTTATTTTAAAACACTCAAGAGTGCCATGTAAAAAGAATTCTTTCGCGTCCCACCAAAGGTACACACGCCACAAGAATCACAGGGACAGTGGGGTGGGGTACACAACTAGGGTACACAGCTGGTTATAAGAGCCAACACAATGGAGTACTGACACGTGCCCAGACTTTGAGTCTCTCTTCCCCATTTGTAAGGTGGATATTGTAATCTAACTTGAACTCCCCAAAATCTGAAAACCCCAAACCCAAAACTTTCTAAATCCCATCGTATAGCCACCAGTTCAAATCTCATCACCGGACTTGGGGGCTAAGTCACAGTAAACATAAGTCTCGGTTTTAAAAAAAAAAAGGAAAGCATCATGTAAAATGGCCTTCAGGCTGGATATAAGATAATGTATGAAACAGAAATTAAACTTAATTTTAGATTTGGCTTCTCATCCCCAAAGCTATCTCATTATGCATATGCAAATTTTCCAAAAATTTTTTTTAAAAATCTAAAATCTGGAACACTTCTGGTCCCAAGCACTTTGGATGAGGGATCAACTCCAATTTAGTTGTGCAAAGGGTTCTGTGAAAAAATGGGTCAGGTGGTGGTGGCACAAGCCTTTATTCCAGCACTTGGGAGGCAAAGGCAGTTGGTTCCCTATGAGTTCAAGACCAACCTGGTCTACAGAGCAAGTTCCAGGACAGGCTCCAGGACAACTACAGAGAAACCCTGTTTCAAAAAACAAAAAACAAATAAAAATAAATTAAAAAATAAATGGATGCAGAGCGTTGAGCACACTTTCTGAGCCATCACTCAACTTATGTGAGTTATTCTTTCATCTCACAAAAATTCATCAGGACCCTAGTCTACTTCAGGTTTGATAAGAGATGTGTAGTGCAGATAAAGGTATTGTGTGCTAGCTCATGAAGTTTTGACATCTGTTAGAGCAGTGGTTCTCAACTTTTCTAATACTGCAACCCTTTGATTCAGTTCATGTTGAGGGGACCCCCAACCATTGAATTATTTTCATTGCTGCTACATAACTGTGATTTTGCTACTGTTATAAATTGTAATATCTGTATTTTCTGATGGTCTTAGGCAACCCCTGTGAAAGAATTCTTCAACCACCAGAGGGGTCACAATACACAGGTTGAGAACCATTGTGTTAGGGAGAGCTGTGAATGATAATGAGAACATGGTGATAATAGTAGGATTATTTATAAATGTTATGAATGATGATAATCAGGAGAGGACAGAAACTTTCTCCCCGGGCTAAGGAGGAGGGGATGAATGGAGGGTACTCAGGCAGAAGAGCTTAGCAGATGGACAGTGGATGGAAGGAAGGGGGAGGAATATGGGGTACCACACAGGTCCCTGGCTCTGAGGACACATGACAGTGTTCATGGAGGTTGGAAACAATAGGAAGAAGGTTCAGGTGTTTGGTGGAGCAGGGAGGTGTCTGATGTTTAGATTTGCAGGGGAGATAGGCAGTGGGATCCCAGAGAGCAGGAGAGAGTCCCACAGTGGGGACGAAAGTTTGGAAATCACTTGAAGAGACGCAGTCTAACATGAACAAAACCTTGTCAGTTGAGAGGTAACCCTTAAGGCAGGGCACGCTGCCAGTTATGCTTGAAGGCACCCTTGTAGTGAATGGATCTTGTTGAAAGAGTCCATTCTACCACCGCATAGCCATGAGAACTCTGTTAGGAGACAGACTGAGGACTCGTGTGTGCACATAGTCATGTACTGGCTGTGCCTGACTTGTAAGACTCTATGGAAGCCTACTGACTTAATGACAGTGGGGTTGAGCATGACCACCTATGGCCCTTAAGTCTCTAGTCTAGGCCAGTGATCCCAACTGTAGTAGTCTGGGTTGAGGTGCTGGCCTCTGGCTAGGGCTGGGCCAGGAGAGACCAGTAGGCGGACTGGGAAATAAGCACATTACCAGGCCCTCTGGTAGATCAGAGCCAATCAGGGGAAGACAGACATAAGCCCTAATCAGAGAGAGAGCCAAGTACCTTTTAGCAGGATCTGGGAAGAAGGGTGGCCCCAGGACTGGGCACCCACTTCCTCCTGGGTGTTCACTTAGGCGAGCATCACCAGTACTAGACAGATGCTTTCTTTCATAACTCATCCTACGGGGAGGGAAAGTGGGAAGCCACCGAATGAAGTGACCCAGCTGGGAATCACACCTAGCTCTGACACCTTGACCATGAGGCTGGACCTCAAACCAGATGAAGGTGATCTCAGACTCAGATCTTCCCTCTTCCTAGGTAGGACCTTGCTTGCTTACCAGAAACTGCCAAGCTCCTGCCACTGTGGTCTCAAAGGTCTTATAAACTCTCACGAAGGGGACTGTAGATGCTTCATGAACCTGGCCAGGGCCCTCCTACCCTCTGGAGTCAGTTTCCCCCAGCAGCACAATGCAACTCAGGCAGCCAGTGCTAGAATGGCCACAGGACTCCAGCATCAGATCCATGATTTTCAGTACTCAGAGCCACCCACCTCTACCCTGTCACAGAACCAGATGGCAGGAGGCAGCAGGAGTGGGTGAAGGGCGGGGGCAGAGCTCTCTGACTCCCCATGGGGGCCTCGCCTGCTCCATCCCTGCTTCTGTTTTGCTGTATTTGACAGTGGCCATGGTTTCCAGGAAAGAAGAGAGAGGCGGAAAAGTTAACTTTCCGCCACCCACACAAATATTTTTGGCTAGCTTTGTCTTCAGGCTGCCAAGCCAGGAGGGAGGAGTTGGCAGGAACAGTCCAGCTCAGAGCTCCCTCCCAAGGAGGCAGGGTTTCCAACCCAGGCAGGGGCTCAGCAGGGGTCCTAGCAGGCCTGTGCTCTGAAATACCACCCCAGAGACCAGGGACTCATAATCACAATAGCAGGCACCACATCCTAAGTGTCTACTAGGTACTGGTCCTTTACCCATAACTCTCCAGGAGGGTGGCAGGAGAGTGTTATCTGGGGATGAAGATCCTGAAGCTTGATACCATGTGCAGAGTTTTGGGAAGAAGGCTAAGAGGGTGGGGACCACAGCTGTCAGGATCTGTGCTCTTAGGTACCACTTTCAGCAGCAACAAACTGTGGCTCCAGGGGCTACACAGCCCCTGGAGATGCTGAGCCCATGTAGCAGCCCCATCTGTGTGGGCAGGAGAAGGCTAGTCCTGCTTAGCAGAGATGGAAAGGGTCCCGCCCAAGCTTGAAATGCATTTTTATGCACATGCTGCCCCTGTCTTGTTACCAGCTCTGAGCTCTGGCAGGGGCCTATAGGGCCCACGTTTTCCCCCCAGAGGGAGCTTGAAGCCCAGGTTAGGTGGCAGGTCCTAATTGAACCCAGACACCCCTATGTTCCAGCCTCAGCCCCACAGACCAGTTGGGCATCAATTCCTGCAGTCCCAAAACCTGACCAGACATCCTAGGCTCTTTCTGTTGCCAGTTTTTGAAAATAGAGTCCAGTATCTGTGACCTGAGGTGGGGTCGGGACTCAGGTCCTTTGTGCTGCTTGCTCTCTACATTGTGAAGGAAGGGTGCTGGCTTGGAGTCAGATCCTGGTTCAAATTCTCTCTCTCTCTCTCTCTCTCTCTCTCTCTCTCTCTCTCTCTCTCTCTCTCTCACACACGCACACGCACACGCACACGCACATGCACACGCACACGCACACGCACACACACACACACACACACACGCTGAGTTGCTTGGCCTGAACCAGCCTGCTGGGCCTCCCAGGGTAGTTGTAGGCATTTGTAGACAGAATGCAAGCTCACTGCTTTCGGCCACCAGCCACTTCCCTGGATGCCTGCAGAGGATGCCTGCAGAACAGACATTCAGGGCCAGTGACTGCCATTCACAGGCTGCATGACTGGAAGACCACAAGAGCCTACTATGAGATTACCAAGGAAGTGAGGAATGGAGGACTTCCAGAGGTACACAGCAGGGCACACCTCGAGGTACATGAGGGTGTCCAGACATGGGGTCCCTGTCATCACTCTCCCAGAGTCATCACAGGATCTGAGCTTCTTCTTCTTCTTCTTCTTCTTCTTCTTCTTCTTCTTCTTCTTCTTCTTCTTCTTCTTCTTCTTCCTCTCTCTCTCTCTCTCTCTCTCTCTCTCTCTCTCTCTCTGGCCTTTTCCTTTTCTTTTTTCTTTCTTTTTTTTCTATTTATATCCCCCCTCCTCTCCCCTGTCTTTCTTTTGACAGTCTCTAGCCCACACAGGCCTCAAGCTGGTTATGCAGCTAAGGATAACTTTGATCTTATGATTCTCCTGTCTACCTCCTAGGTATGGACCACCAAGCACGGTTTATACAGTGCTGGGGGTTACAGCAAAGACCTTACACATGGTAGGCAATCACTCTACCAATTGAACCACATCTTTGGCCCCCTTTTTTCTTTCTAAATATCTTTATAATTTTTTTATTTCATCTACACGTGTTTTACTGCATGTATATATTGCACCATATGCACGCCTGGTGCCTACAAAAGCCAGGAGAAGGGGTCAGATCCC